GAACCAGCAGCACCCAACTACAATACCTATCATACTACCGATTTACGTAACTTTCTTCCACTTTTGACACACATTCCTCAATAAGTTATTTCATCGTTTCGCCAAAGCAAAACGTTGATGATAAGACGATACAAAATGTGCAACTGATTACAAAAAGGGAACAATGATTGATAGATGAATAATATAATTTGGAATGTAGTTTGGTTTTGCGGCTATGGATAGTACATGAAGGCAAGTGCCAAAGAAGTAGGCGTAATTTCGGCGCAAAAGAGGGCAAGATGGAGATATTAGGAAACACGGAATTATCAAAAAGAGCGTATGTTATTCACAGTTGCCTGCGGTTATTTTCCTAGTAGTTGTTTTTATAGCTTTTTGAAAACAACTGCTCATGGCCTTGCTTCTTCCACTGGTTTTCGTACTTGGTGTCGTATCATATGGTGTCTATTGTTTCAGGTAAAATAGATTATCGAAATCGATATCGAACAGATTTGCGACAATAAAAGGTTCAATTACGACGACTCGTCGGATACATAAAAGGAATATACATAAAAGGAATGAAAAGAAACTTGTAAAAGTTTACTTAGTTTTTATAGTTATTTATCGGGGGTTCATTAATTTTAATGAGTTATTGTCGTTCTTCGGTAGTAGTGAGTCATCCAAACACGATTATCGGTTTACTCGATCTCTGTCTGTTTTACGAACCGAGTAGTGCGCATGTCACAAACTTGTTCCACGAGTTAACCTCACGTCGACTCGTGAAAATAAAAATAATTTAGAATAGATTATATTCGAATGGTTTGGCAGCTATCAAAAAGAACACAATTTCGAATTTTGGCTGGTGGAGTTTGATCTAACAATAAAAAAAAAGAAAGATTGGATCGACACGAGTAAGGAGGAGAAGGGGAGTGAGAGAGACGTGACGACTCATCTACTGCGTATCCTGCGTGATAAAGTTAAAGCAGAACGATCACGGTGTGGCAGAAGACGCGCGTAATATGTTACGTAATTTGTCGACTCGACCGGCCACACTGAACGCTCGTTCGTCTCATCTCCTTTATAACTTTTATGTATGTTTCGTGAAGCCACGGTTCATTTATTGACGAGATGGCCGACAATGGATTGCGACGATTCGTGTTACTTTCGCGATAGATTGGTTCGATGTCTAACGCGTTAAACAGCAGTAATACGAAATGAAAATATACGATATTTTGAAGCAACGAATTCTGTACAAGTACCGCGAGGTAAATGCGATTCTCTCACTCTTGGCATTCGCGCGTGGCTATGCGAGTTTATTATTGAAAAGTGAACCGCGATATTTTCGGAAAGAAATCGACGAATAAATTTTTTCACAAACTGCTCGATCCATAAGTAGCGAAAATAAAAGGAACAAGAACGACGTTCGACCGTCGGGCGTAAAGGCATGATTTTATACAGCACGTGGATCCACGATTCAAGGTCAAATAGTAGAACGCACAAAAATTTCTCCTTGCCCAAGGTTTTAGTGTGATATTCGATTTTCGATAACTATTTTATTGGGCGTCATTTTCGATGTTCACGCGTGTGTACGAATGAGAAAGTATTATATACGTATTTGAATAATATAAACTTTATACTTTAAGTATAAATGGTATATTTTATTTTATATTCGTTTATTAGAACAATTATTAGATATGTTTTATTCAACGTTATGTAAAATGCCTCGGTATAATTAACAGCTCGCTTTATTTTCTTTCAGGACCTGATCTTTTCGATCCAGTCAAATCAAACGCCAATTCTGCATACATCGGACCTTATATTCCCTAAATTAATATGGAATGGTTATCCTATACTCTAATTAGGTTATATCGGCAACGATAATGTCAGAGGATGGATGCTGAAGCAATGGGACACGCGAACGCGCGCGTAATGTTTACTCATACAGTGAAAACATGTATGTTATTCATTAGTTCGTATCGTAAGACCAAAGTCACGTGCGTATCCGTTCAACGATCATATCAGCTGGTATCGAGAGAGAAAGAGAGATGATGTGTGTTTAAAGTAGTACAATGAGAGAACATAGGTAGATATAAAGTGCGAAAAAAATGATGGATAGCATAGCCTATAAGATTATTCTAGTATCAAAACACATCTTATCGGCGATTCTATTGCTCGATATTATCGTTCGAACTATCTACTACTCGATCTAATATGTTCTCGCAACGTGATGAGACACAGAGATAAATTGGCTCGTTTATTCTTGTTTTGTATTGTACCGATGCGAGTCATATCACATTTAATTACAGATCCATATCAATAAATTAGTCGAGACTTTTTATAGTTGCACACCGATTTTGATATTTGTTCGCCATGATTATTTTCGAATGTGGTTCGAGTTTTCCGTTCAGTGTATACAGTTCAATGTCTCTTTAATTAGACGCGTCAAGGCTGAATAAATTAAACCTTCGTGGATCGATTCGATCGATCGACGGTCGGGGAAGATTTTGTTCCGACAATTTTTTACAACACGAATAGAATGGAAGTGAAGGTTTACGAAAATGTGGAGGATCAAATGCATAACGAAACCGAATTAATCGAGCGATTTCTTGAAGGAAGCGAAAATTATCACGGAACAGAGTATAGAGTCGAGGAAGGTTTGAGAAACGGGTGAGACCATGCTCCGTGAAAAAAAGCCAACGAACTTGTTTGACCCGAAAGGAAGAACGCTGGCCTGGTCTGGCATCGATCACACCAAATTTTTTCTCACTTTACGTTGCGTAGCTTTATTCTCGTATTCTGTATTATTGCGTTGGTCGAACCGACTGAAAGATAGAACCCGTACTATTTAGCAGTAGTTAGTTCGACGTATAGTCTATGTATAGCCCTGCTTTATCGTGACCAAGATGTACAGGTATACTTCTACGTCTACGTGGCGGTATAGTAGCGATATAGTGCCTTCCGGTGTTCTTTCCCTCTTTGCTTTCGTCCAAACGAAATACGAACGGTATTCTTAATACGAGTCTCTATCGTTTATCTCCAAAAACGAATGCTATACGGACAATTGGTTGACGATAACCAACGACCCGAATCATTTTTTCTACGATACGTAGAATCAGTGTAGGCGAGCCTTCTGTTCATCTGCATTGGTGCATTCGTTCGTCTCGTTTAACACATACCACGTCGATTGCAGGAAATAGTAAATATTTTCTTTCACGTGAGCGCGATAAGATTATAAGCGTATGGTATTTCCTTTTCGTTCCTCGCAGCGTATAAAGATCCCTTCTGATAATGAGCCTCTCGAGCAAATGAAACGAAGGTAAAATTGTAGACGAATTATGAGAAAATCGCTAGCGAGTTATTAAAGTAATACGTGTACCAAGAAGCAGCGAGTTCTGAATTATAGCGAAATATTTCAAAACGATATTTTACTCGTCGATTAATTCGGTAATCTAGAATTTCAGATGTAAGAATTGTAAGAAGACACGTTTCGCGAGATATACGAAATGGCATGACATCGAACGAGAATTCTTCTTTATTTATTTTTAAACGAAATAACTTTATAGAAGACGCAGATGCAGGGTGACGTATCGTATTTGATATTTTCAAGTCCGCGTTACGATTCTGCCTGACAGCAATAGTATCGTTATCGATAAATTCGTAAATAAATGCCAGATATTATCTACAGTCGATGAATTACATTTATGAAATTGAAATTATGAATTTCGAAACATCTTGAATCGTGAGACGATAGAAAGAGTTAGCTTGTTGCGATCGATATCAATGAAGTACAATAATTCTATGATTCTGAATTGTCACTCGCATTCGCCCGAACAAGCGAGCAAAAACACCGCTTAACATAAATGATATTTATAACGAAACGTTAAGCACGGGATTCGTGCCAGATGCGTAAAAGCGATTTGGATCCATTTTGCTCTTGTAAACGCCGATTTCTTCTACATTGTCAACAAGTCGGTCACGAACGTAACATCTTTTCGCCTTTGCATTGCACCTGAATATGTCATAAAGAAATATGATTTCGCTGGCCGCAGTAAAGATGTCCGTATTAAAATAGGGGGAGAAAGAAGATAGGAAGAGTTAAAGAAACTAGGGATTGTTCTCTGTTCATTGGCAGAAGCGACGTGGTCCTAATATCGCATACGTATCTCGATTACGTTGCTACTCTATTATAACGATATCTATTCTCACTAGCTATACAATTCTAGCCAAGGCAACGCCAAATTATTGGCACCGGGTAATCATGTTAAACGCGTAGCAAATGCGTAGCAAACGCTATAGCTATCTAGCTGCTTCTCTGAAATCGATCGAGTACGTTTCTCGATTCTTTTTTCATTTCTGTGTATCGATTGAAAAAATTAACAAGGGCTTGGTATCGAAGTATAACAATGGTATGATGAAAATGCAGTTCGTTTGAAAGTAAAATACGATGAAAAACTGTTGAGATAGGTCAATCGACAATACCACTATCGCACCTAACTCGTCATCGTTCGTATACATGTGACTGAACGCGCATTTGCATAGTTATTTCAAGACACGATTTCGACGCTTTTCTAACTCTAGTATGAATAAACAAACATGCTGCACAACGATAGTAGGCGTTTATATAGATATATACGAGTAAACACGTATGTCACGAGACATAAACAAAATTACCTAAACAGGGAATTCACTTAGACGCGAATACATTTGGATAAAGTCGATTCGATACGACGAAATACAATGAGACACAACGAAACAGACGACTCGAACGGAATCGTAAAATTTAAAAACACTTGCCCAGCCATTGGTGTCCCTGGTTATATAATATATGCAGTATCGCATCCACCTTGTTATCTACTCGCTGTATAATACTGTATGCGTGACGGGATAATTTATATTTATAATTTATAGCTTATGTTTATGATAGTATTTAAGGTGAAATTGTTAACTTGCCATTCTATCGCTTCTTATTGGATAATGGTCACGGTATCGAACCAGTCGAAAGTACGAACTAATTAATAATGTACCATTGGATACGCAGGGAAGTGTAAACGTGGCGCTAGTATATAACTTGTCCATATCAGTCGATCGATCAAGCGCGTGATCCTGCAAATGAATCAAAAAGTCGGTTGACGCAACGGGATCGTATTCGAAAGGTTTCAGAACTACAACCTTTAATCGTGTAAATGGTTTAACCGACTACGTACTAGATCCTGCGTAATTGGCTGCGCATGCTTACATGACGCAGCCTATACCATTTGAAAGCGGTCTCTTCGTTCAAACCTACATTAATTTGAACGAAATAAATAATTAAAACAGATGAAGCAAAGATTGCGTGTTTTCGTCATAGCAAGGCAAGTGTTATTTAACGCGTGCTTTTTTTCTTTTATCACTTCCGATTCCCTTTCCATTCTTCACTTATTAACGATACACCTCTATGCATTTGAAGTCGAAGTTTATCCCTTTTTACAAGAATTCGTAGAAGCCGAGTGTTTACCGAATTATGTTTCATGCACGATCTATTATAACAAAATCCGATCATATGAACTTAAGAAACATACAAATTCCTAATTCGTTTACGGAACAAACTAATGCCGTTTGCATAATCTTTGTTTTTGCGTGAAAAAAAGAAACCTAATTATAAATTAAATTATGTTACGCGGTATTCAGTAAGACTAAGTTAGAAATAAAACGATTTCGGAATAGAATTGAAAATATCGAATAACGTGCCGTCGTATCTATGAAAAATTGGTATCAAATTTAAACCTTTTAATGTCAAACAAGAATTGAAACCAAAAATTCGACGAAGAAACAAGAAGAAATGAATTGGAACGAACCGAAACGGAACGGAACCGAACGGAAGGGAACGGAACGGAACGAAACGAACCGAAACGTAACCGAACGGAACGGAACGGAACGGAATGGAACGGAATGGAATGAAGAGGTATGGAACAGAACAGAACGGAACGGAATGGAATGGAATGGAATGGAACAGACAAAACGGAACGGAATGGAATGGAACAGAACCTAACGGTATGGAATGAAATGAAAAGGAAAAATTATGGGAGTAAATCGACGAATAAAGTTAGTACGAAATTATTGGTTAGCTGACATAATGATTACGTTATGAACATATTAACAAGTGATGCCGCTATTGTTATCCATCTGATCTTGTGCCTTTGATAGTATGAGAATCTAACACGTATTTTCTTTCCACCATATTTATTGCATCATTTCTTAAAGTGCATTGGTATTGCGTGTCGACGCTTTCCGCATGACCATGATTATCCAAAGTCAAAGTCATTTTGATTACTCCTCTGACTCATTCATTCATTTTGATTACTAAAAAAAATTGTTTTTTGATATGTGCCATATAAAATGAAATATCCAAATTCGACCAGAAAGTACTGTTTGTATCTGTGAGCACGAAATTAATAAAGCGATTAATCGATCAATTCGTCAGCAATAATTTGCAACTGTATAGTACTTTATACTGATTATGTACTATATACGCCAATATACTTCGGAACTACTACAAAAAAAATATAATTTCACCTGCAATGAAAGTAAATTCAAAAATTCATACAATTTAATAGAAAGTCGTTTAATCAATGATAATGAATTGCGTTGAAAAACTTTTGGAAGCTTAGGAGAACAAAAATTGGTTCTAATCCTATGTTAGATTTCGCTGACTGCTCTATCGAACAGTAAAATAAAAAAGAAAATTAATTGGTAGAAGAACTTTATTGGCGGGGACGATACTGTCGATAGTTGGCAAGAGAATCAATGATCTGACCATCCGCAATATTTTCTTGGTTGACAGACGATTCTCCTTGGTCGCTCTCTCGCTCTCTCTCTCTCTCTCCCTCTCTCTCTCT